TACTGTTAAAGTTCTTAGTTAACAATTAGGTTAACAATCAATTATAAACTTGTGTCTGAAGTCGAATCTTTGTTAACCAAAGTCTCGGATTGGGGTCAACTTAATCCAATTTAACCCCAAAAAGACACAAGTTTGCGCGTTAACCGCTAAAAAGTCGCCATTTATCGTAGCTTCTCAATTTGAGGACACTCCTCTGTCTCCCACAGCCAGTATCGGAATACTTGGCGTCGACATCTCGAGCAACGTCCAGTTCCGTGGTCAATTGGAAGGTAAGGCCAAACTGGCCTCAAAGAAGCTTGGTGTGCTCAGCAAGGCGAGACAGTACTTCACGTCGCGTCAGCGTCTTATTCTTTATAAGGCGCAAATTCGGCCCCACATGGAGTACTGTTCTCATCTTTGGGCGGGAGCTCCCCCGTACCAGCTACTTCCATTTGACCGCATTCAACGTAGGGCGGCTCGAGCTATCAAGAATCAAGCTCTCTCCGATCGGCTTGATCCTTTAGCTCTGCGTAGAGATGTTGGATCACTCTGCATCTTCTACCGCATTTATCACGGGGAGTGTTCCGAGGAATTGTTCGGACTGATCCCGGCTGCTGAATTTCATCATCGGAAATCGCGCCAAAATATTAAATTCCATCCACATCACCTCGATGTCCAGCGTTCCACAACAGTGCGATTTTTAAGGCATTTTCTGCCCCGCACAACCACTCTGTGGAACCAGCTATCGCCGGCGGTCTTTCCGAACCGCTACGCGTTGGCCACCTTCAAGAAGAGAGCGTATTCTTTCCTTAAAGGCCGGCACCGCATCTGCAAGCCCTGCGGTGTTGCAGATGTCCATGGGCGGCGGTGATCACTTTCCATCAGGTGAGCCTTCTGCTCGTTTGCCCCCTTAGTCCCATTAAAAAAAAAGGTACTTTGTACCAAGAATGTCTCTCCTCCATATCTAAGTCGATCGAAAAATACTCTAGGTACATCTGTACTGTCCATGATACTATTATTATAAAATGAACGATTATCTGTATTACAATGTTATAATATTTTTCATTCATCTTTTTTCGTCTATATTGAAACTTCTGGTTTTGGTTAATTTCTGTTTTTAATTCACTTTTTTATTTATTAAGTGATATTAAGCGAAATTAGCATAAAGTGTTTACCTTTAAATGATTTTATATACCCTGTGCATGTAATGTAAATAGTTTAGGAAATATTATTTATGTAAAATCGCTGGTAGACCCAATCTTCTTCTATACTATAATAAAACAGTAGAGGTCGAATGTCTGTACATAGAAAAAAAATGCTAAAAACCGAGTCAGTGGGATGTAAGAAGACAAATAGAAAGAGTCCAGGTTTTTTTTTTAACTTTTTGTTTCTCTGTCTGTTTGTCTGCTTGTACGGGCTAATCTCCGAATCTATTGGACCGATTTAAATGAAATATTGAATGGTGGTACCTTATATCCTCGGGCAACATCTTAGATACTTTTCATCCCAGAAAATTAAAGAGTTCCCGTGGGATAGTTAAAAAACTATAATAACTTATACAGCTTAGTACACAACAACTTATGCACCTAATTTAGTAATATTTGGCACGATGATACCTTATATCGCCGGTCAAACAACAGGTTACTTTTGATCCCGGAAAAATAAACGGTTCCCCTAGCATAGACCTGTTTGTGCTTTTCTAGAGGCGAACCCGAGCGAAGCGAGGGTGAGCCGCTAGTAAATAAATAAAAATAAAACTTTAGTCGATGGTTGAACCACCCAGCGCCTTGACGTAACTTAAAACTAACTTAAATCAGTAACATTAAACTTTAAGGCTAATTCGAATGTTAAAACATAATTTATTTGAGACTAGATAGTATTTAACATTTAATAGATTTTTTCTTTTTAGTTACAAGAACCTGTGGATTAAATGAAATATTCGCCGCATGCAACCGATGTGAGAAGACTTGTACAGACACAAATCCTGTGTGTGTGCAACTTTGCCTTTCTGGTTGTTTCTGTAAGGAGGGATACGTCCGAGGACCAAATGGAAGCTGTGTATTATTAGCCGACTGTCTTCAATTACTACAGATTTCATAATTAAGGAAAAGGAGGTTTTACTGCAACATTTCACAGATGGTGGCGTACCAGCATATGACGTTAATCACAGATCACTTAATACTGTACTAGTACAAATGCCTCATCCCATATAAAGAAATTGGACAGCGCTGTTTCGGGCTATCCTTCGGGCTATTTTTCTTTGCTAGAATAGATAATACATGTCGTTGATCCGCAGATAATCCATTGAACAGTTTTTTTTAATAAATACTATGTGCAAACTAACGTACGGTAAATTCATGTATTCAATTAATAAATATCAGTGATTTTAACAATTTTCAACTGTGAGAAACAACTCATAAAAAGTAAAAGCGCCATGTGTGAATATGGGTTACAAACCTATCATCTTATTGTTGATTTTTTAATAATTTTAAATAAATAATAATTTTAAATGTTTGTCTTTCAGTCATGGGTGTTTATATTTATAATATGTATGTATCTAAAGTTATATAATATGTATAGTGTATCAACTATCTGGTATCCATAACACAAGCCTCGTAGCTTACCGTGGAACTAGATGGTGCTGTGTGTTAATGTCCCAACATATTTATTTATTATTTATTTTAAGATTCGAGAACGAGTAGATAAAAGATTTTGTATATAAAGAGTGGGCTGTTTGGGTTGGTTTTTATATTTTACAATATTTTATCAGACACATAAAAAATATTAGCTTTTGCCTTAAAAATGCCGTCTCCAACGTATATCTATATCTTGAAAAGTAAATTTTTTACAGCTAAAATTGATATGCATAAAAATGACATTTCTTGAAAGTCTAAATTCGGAAAGGGGAAACGATAAATTTTGTTTTTTGGGATCTTAAGCAACAGTGCCTCAAAGTTACAGCAAAATCTAAACTTAGTTAACTTTGCCAATCAGACGTTTTCATATGGAATGACTCGTGTTTATATGTTAAAAAAAAGAAAGATTAAAGAAAGAAAGATCTATTATTAAAATTTAGTTCTCTTCTTTTTTTATACAAATTCCGTAATCATAAAGTTTCACTCCAGGATCACTACACATTTGTAAACAGTATATATTGTCGTAGGTGACTCCATCGGTTCCACATACAGGTATCCACGAAATATCATTATGTGGGCAGGCGCACGGCGTCTTTGCTTCAGTCAGTCCCAGTAAAACAATCCTAACTAAAGTCACTGAAACAAAGTCCATTCTCTATTACCTAATCACAAGTCTTAATTACTTACTCCAACTTACATATGTGTGTATGTATTACTCGTTCATAAAGTGTGTGGTGTAACATTGTAATTAATCTATACATATAATAAAATTCTTAGTCGAACCTGTACATTAAATATTTTGTCAAATAGGGACTCACCATCGCTTCGCTCGGGTTCTCCTCCCAAACTTTTCATATCATGAGATTGCAAGAAATCTTATTTTATAAAAAAACACTTAATTTTCTTCTATACAAAACTTGTCCTGACAATAACAAACACAAAAAAAAGAATTATCCAATTTGGTGCAGTCGATCGGAAGTTACATTTCGGTAAGTCATTTTTATTTATATAGATGTACAAAACCTGGGCTATTTCCGATCTGAGTTATCAGTTCGATTGATAATGTACAAGTTAGTAAAAAAAAATTAATTAATCAACTGATGGACCTAAACGGACCTAAAGAAGGTGCAGGGTGAGTGCGGGGTGCACTTGCACCTCTCTGCCATAAAGGAAAATATATATAGAAAAAGTTAAAGAAATCAAATTATATGAGTAAAATCCCTGTTTAAATTTAGATATCTCCAAAGAAAACATGATAAATAAGATATGATTAAAAGTTATGAAGTTAATCATTTAAAGATTAGTTAGTAGTTTGATATGTGAAGAAGCAACTGCACCTCCTTGGAAATAATTCTGCCGCCGCCCATGTATCTATGGATAATATATATTTTTTTTAATTTTACCCTTTGCCTAAACGAACAAATTAATAAATCTACTTACTTAATTTGAAGAACATATTTCAGTGTCGTGTTCGGCCTATGTAGGTACTAATTATATATTGAACTAAACTTTTTTACTTATTACATATGGGATCGAATGTGATTAGTTCTGATTATTGAAATCCAATATATACATAAGTAATGCATTTAAAGCATAAAATTTGTAGTAAATATAATATGCATGGAATGGATTCTATAATGTCACGAACTTCAATCTAAGTGACTAAAGAAGGTCTTACAGTGAAGGAAAACATCGTGCGTCCTATCTTGAATCTGCGTGTCTGAAGAATCTAGCATGTTTTCTAAAGGAATTTAAAGTCCACTAATCCGGACTTGACCAGCGTGGACTATGGCCTAATTCCCCATGTATTAAAGGGAGGCCTGTGCCCAAAAATGAGACGTTAAAAAGGGTTGAATATATATATATATGGGTCAGGCCGTAGTTTTTGCCACATTTTGTATACCCTAACTCTCCGCTACTTTTTTTTTTAACTAAAATACTTAATATACATTTTTCAATCACGACGTTGTATTTCCTATGAAATGGAGAGCCACGGCCACTAAATATACTTGACTAAGTTTATAAACATGGAAAGTTATACGATATTTTTGTTAAAAAAATGACGAAATTTTTATAAAAAACGCGAATCCGCTTCGGTATATGTACACTTTGCGCATCTGTAAAATTAAAAATAAACATTCCTTTTGACAATCGATGTGATTTGACGTTATGAAATAATAGTTAGCTAGCCACCTTTTTAATATAGTTACGTGTTTCCTAAGAAAAAACATTAAATTTCATACATTTTTTAAAAACTACACAAAGACATTTTTTTGCGCTATTTTTATTGCGCAACCAATATATCTGCCTATTTTGTCATAAAAACATTAGCAGGATTTGTATCTAAGTAGTGGCAACACCAAAGTAACTACCTCTATGGTCAATATGACGTTAGCGGCAATATTCCTGTCAGTTGGATGTCAACTTCGTTGCGAAGAGGAATGTGTCAAGTTTGTGGCGGAGTGCATTTTTTGTGATTTCAAGGTAAGTTTTCAATTTATATTTAATATTGTTATTGTGCACCATTTAGTAAGCTGTGTGTGATCTTTCAAGCATAAATTAACCTGAAAAAAGAGTTTATTTATAGAGTTATTATCAATTTCCTTTGCGTCACGGTTGCGTAAAAATGACATTATGCTACTTTGCGTTACCAGTGGCGTAGAATTTGCGCCACTTTATTTTACGCTATCGAATAAAGGTGCGGCACAAGTTCAGAATTGGGGACATGGCCCCTGGCGAATGGGTGGTATTTCTGGATAAGGGACGTGATAGGGAGTCGAAATGTTAAATAAATTTTTTAATACAACAAAAGATTCAAAAGTTATTGAGACTTAAAGTTACAACATTTCCATACATTTTCATATATTTCTTTACCACCATTCGGAGTGGGTGGTATTTTTAGATAGGGGAGGTGACAGAGAGTCAAAATATATTAAAAATATTTGGAGGAAACGTACGACTAAAAAGTTATTGAGACTTAAAGTTATAACATATCTAACACATTTCCATACATTTCTTTACCTAAATAAGTGATTACAACAGGTAAACATACCTTTAACGAATAGTACGCATCCTTTTTTATGTACATTACACATTTTCACAACAATTAATGCTTTATTGTATTTAATATTTTAATAATTTCACAACACAAACAAAATGATCTTACATTTTGACAAAAGCAAAACTGACACTTTGTTTTATATTACCGCTTAAATGACAACAGATTATATTTGATTATTTTTGCTTTTTCTGTTGGTAAAATATTAATATTAATAAATAAATAAATAAAAAGAAAAATATTATTTTCACTTTATAAATACATTTATGACTTTTTATTTGATTTATGTAAAATATATTGTTTTACAATTGTACATTTAGTAAAAAAAATCATTTTTTTATCTGTGAATATTTTTAATTATTTATTTATTATTCGTCATATCTGGGTTAGGTTAGGTTAGAACATTTAAGATTATTTATTTATTATTCCTCATATCTGGGTTAGGTTAGGTTAGAACATTTAAGATTATTTATTTATTATTCCTCATATCTGGGTTAGGTTAGGTTAGAACATTTAAGATTATTTATTTATTATTCCTCATATCTGGGTTAGGTTAGGTTAGAACATTTAAGATTATTTATTAATTATTCGTCATATCTTGGTTAGGTTAGGTTAGAACAGTTGCCACAACGCACGAGCCGAGCGAGCGAAGCGAGCGTGCCGCGGTAGCGGCCGGCGAGTGCCATAAATGACTAGAAAACTAGAAAATTCGAATTTCACGCAAAGTACAAATAAAGACAATCATCTGGAGATCATTTTGACAATTGAAAGTGACGTTTTGACTCCAAGTGTCTAAATGGTAGTAATGTCAAAATAATGTATGGAAATGTTATAACTTTAAGTCTCAATAACTTTTGACTCTTTTGTTGTATTAAAAAATTTATTTAACATTTCGACTCTCTATCACGTCCCTTATCCAGAAATACCACCCACTCGCCAGGGGCCATGTCCCCAATTCTAAATCGCCGCCAAAGGTGCATACACATGTAAATTTGCGGTTAGGTATATTTTTTTGCTTGTGACATGGTGTGCAAAGCACTAATGGTTCCACATAAGCAGCATATGAAATACGGAGCCTTAATAACGCATTATAAGATGCTATCTATACTAACATAATAAAGCGGAAAAGTTTTTTTGTTTGTTTGTTTAAACGCGCTGATCTCTGGAACTCCAAGTCCGATTTAAAAAGTTCTTTTTGTATATGATAGCCAGATTCATGAGAATCTCTTTCACTTTATGAGAATATATATTCTTATATATTTAAGGTGAATATATATTCTCATATATTAATATATAAATTTGGAAATATAGCATATAACGGAAGATATTTTTTTAGGTTTCTAATTTATCCAGTAAATATCATACTTGCATTTTGCATTTTTTGTATGTCCGGCATTCTTTCTTACCTGCATTTGCACGGCTTACATCGTCTCTTTCGTAAAATCTCCGTATTGTCTCTATCAGACCATGGGTTTTGGCTTTGTTTCTACGTATCTTTTTAAACTGTTTTTGAGTCCAAACCTTATTTGTAAGGCAGGTTTTTAATTTATATTTTTTTACTATCGGATCATCCACAACATCTTTAAATGTATTTTTATCTTGGTTTTGTCAGATTTTAAATTTAGATTTAATAGAGTCCGTGAGAACATTGTATTCTAAAATCTTTTTTTCGATATCTTCTTTTTACAGTGTTGCAACATTAGTTAGGTGCTCATTAACAAAGTTTTCCGATCTCTTATATGAAGTGTTTTCTTGTTCTTGTACGATGGCATGGTTTTCAATTTCAGTTTCGTTATCCTGAACTTTCTTTGCTAAATCTCGGAAATCACTCTTCAATTTACGCATGTCTCTTTGAACAGATTTGTAATCTCTCATCAATTAATCAACGTATTCACAAAGTTGATTATTTTCACGTCGCATTTTTTTTTCAATATTTCTCTGAATATTTCTAATCACAGTCTTATTCAAATATGTATTGCTTCTACTTTCTGTCTCATATATTATACAAATTTTGATCTAAATCGTTCGGTATAAACAAGAAATGCTCGTTTAAATATATTAGATAGATACATAACTATATTTACCATATTTCGTTTCAGATGCCTCTGAGTCAAGCAGAAAAATCAAGGAGATATAGGGAAAAACTAAAAAGAACGAATCCTGATAAATATCAAGAAATTAAAAAGAAAAATAAATCAAGAGCAATTAAAGCTTACCAAAATAAAAAAAAATCTATAACTGATTCACAAAAAGCAGAACACAGGTTGTCACAGAATAAAAACAGTATTCGGCAAACTGTCCACATAATCCAGTCTACATCTAATGAACAACCTGCCAATATGGAGCATCAGGATATTACAGAAGACCGTTCAAATGAAGTAAATCTGGAAACCCAAAGCATGTTGGCTGTACAAGTTCCAGATAGACTTGAACAAAATGACACAGAAAGTAGAAGCAATACATATTTGAATAAGACTGTGATTAGAAATATTCAGAGAAATATTGAAAAAAAAATGCGACGTGAAAATAACCAACTTCGTGAATACGTTGATAAATTGATAAGAGATTACAAATCCGTTCAAAGAGACATGCGTAAATTGAAGAGTGATTTCCGAGATTTAGCTAAGAAAGTTCATCATAACGAAGCTGAAATTGTAAACCATACCATCGTACAAGAACAAGAAAACACTCCATATAAGAGATCGGAAAACTTTGTTAATGAGCACCTAACTAATGTTGCAACACCGGAAAAAGAAGTTATCAAAAAAAAGATTTTAGAATACAATGTTCTCACGGACTCTATTAAATCTAAATTTAAAATCTGTCAAAACCAAGATAAAAATACATTTAAAGATGTTGTGGATGATCCGATAGTAAAAAAATATAAATTAAAAACCTCCCTTACAAAGAGTCTCGGGCTCAAAAACAGTTTAAAAAGACACGAAGAAACAAAAACAAAAACCCATGATCTGATAGAGACAATACGGAGATTTTACGAAAGAGACGATGTAAGCCGTGCAAGTGCAGGTAAGAAGGAATGCCGCACATACAGAAAATGTAAAATGCAAGTTCGATATTTACTAGATAAATTAGAAACCTTATATAAAAAATACGTTTCTGAAGTTGGCTCAATAAGTTACAGCACCTTTAAAAAATATCGTCCGTTTTATGTTATATCTCCAAATTTAAAGAATTTGAAAACGTGTGCTTGCTTGAAACATTGCAATATGCAATTTATTTTAAATGCTTTAAAATCGGCGGGCATACTCGAGTCAAATGATATTAACACAATTTTGGACAAACTCGTCTGCGACCCTGATTTTAAGCAATGCATGTACGGTGAATGCAGTGTTTGTAAAGATAATGCTGTACAAGTAAACAAAGAGGAAAATCTTGTAATAAACTGGTTTTCATGGAAAGTCAAAGAACATGAATATGATGAAAAAGGAGAGAGAAAAAAGACTAAAAGAATGGCAAAAACTGAAAACAAAGGAACATTAAAAGATTTAGTTGATTTGTTTAACAAGGAAATGAACAAATTTAAGATACATGTATACAACATGCGCCATCAACAACGACAATATAAGCTATGTATAGAGAACTTAGACTACAACGAATGTGCATTACATATAGACTTTTCAGAAAACTGGCTGTGTAAACATCATGAAGAAATACAAGCTATGCATTTCGGTGCATCGAAAAACCAAATTACCCTACATACGGGCGTGCTTTACATTAAGAATGAAAAACCATTATCGTTTTGTACAATTTCTGCTGAAAATTGTCATACCCCCGAAGCAATTTGGGCACATCTTGATCCCGTATTAAAGCATATCAGGCTTACATATACAAATATAGACACAGTTCATTTTTTTTCTGACGGTCCTACGAGCCAGTACCGCCAAAAAAAAAATTTTTTTTTAATGACCCGCAACACCTTCGAACATGGATTTGAAAATTTTACTTGGTCATATTTTGAGGCATCCCATGGAAAAGGTGCCGCAGATGGCGTCGGGGGGACTATAAAAAGAACTCTAGACTTTAAAGTTTCACATGGGACTGATATACCTGACGCACAAACTGCGTTTAATGTTTTGCAGGAAACGGCAACGTCAATCAAAACATTTTTCATAAGACCCGAAAGCATCCAAACATTAGACACAAATATTGCAAGCAAACTGACCGCTATTCGAAATACATTAAAAATTCACCAGATTGTAAGTCATGCTAAATTCATACTTAAATACCGCATCCTCTCTTGCTTTTGCCAAAATCTCAAGGGAAAATGTGAATGTTTTGAACCGAAAATACACAGTTTTGAATTTCAAACAGAATTTACAATAGACGGAAATAGAAAAGACGAAAGCTATACAAGATTGGAGCTTGACGAAACCACTGGAGAACTAAAACAAGTGAGAGAGCAAAAAAACGATAGCTTAGAAATAAAAGGAAATGAAATGTGCTCTGAAGAACAACTATTTCACTGGACCCAGGACAGTTTTTTATCAGACAATATGGACATTGATGAAACAAATATTGACTTCGATATACTGAACGATTCTGGAATTTTAAATGCAATAGAATGTGAAGGGAATGATACAGCTGAAAATCAAAAGTATGTTGAAAAGGATAATGAAGTGACCATCTATAATCCAGACAGTCTTAAAATGTTTTGTAATCAAGTTATCAACAGTCACTTCGGTATATCAAACCAAAATACAGAGACCCAGTTATCGGAGGTATGCGTATTGAATAAAATTTCAAAGAATGACAGTCAGAATCTGTCGTTTTATAATGATTTGCCGACATGTTTACAACCAGTAATACCATCATCCAAAATATCTGCAAATGAATCGAAAGTTTCAGTGGGCTGTTCTAAACTGATAATACACTCTAACATCAAGGTAGACTCTGAAGTAAAGAAAAATAATATTAGGAAAATTTTGAAAGGGGCTAAAGTTATTAAGCAGTCAGCACTAAATATGGAAATAGTTCCGAAGAAAGTAAAAAATGTTAAACAAAACAATGCTCTTAGCCAAATAGATACATTAAATGAACACGCAAGTACGTCAAAAGAAGCAGGCAGTAAAAGAAAACGCAAAATGTAACTACTGAAAGAACAATAACTTGTATAAAAAAAGGTAAAAAGAATATAAATAATAGACAAAAGTCAAAATCAAGCAAGCACGCCGTAAAAAAGAAAAAGATAGCAACTTATATAGAAACAAGCTCTGAAAACTCCGATATTATAAGTCTAGCCGATACTGATAAATCTGAATACGAAACATTGAATGAGTATATAACATGTTTAGAAGATCAAGAAGGAAAGGAAAACTTAGAGCCAGCTATACCATTTGGGATTAGTGATATTGATTACTGTACAGTAGATTTTTTAAAAAAGGATGACTGGATAGTGGCTAAATTTGCCACAAAAAAAAGTTTAAAGCACTTTGTAGGACGTGTTTTGTCGATAAAAGATAATATTCCTACTGTAAAATTTGTTAGGAACGTGAAAAATTTGAAAGATAGTAAAGGGTTAATTTTCACGTATCCACAAGTTGACGATATATATGAAATGCAGTTAGGTGATGTGATTAAAGTATTACCTCAACCAAACATTTCCCGACGGGGCCAAATAATCTTTGACACCGACATTAGTTACTACAACATACAGTAAAAAAACAATAATTATACAAAAGGTGCCTTTTTTAAGTACGTGTTCAATAAATTAAAGTTTTAATTTTTCTTTAAACTGTTTCGATTGTAATAAGCCAAAGTTTTAATATTTTTCTATCTTGTTAAGGAGTTGTTTTATGAGTAGATTCTATATATTTTTTTCTTTGATATCTTTAAGAATTAAGTTAGTAATAAGAGTAGTGATAAAATAAGAGTAATATTAAGATGAGTGAGAATTATATTTGAGACGTTAGTAGGCACTATTAGTTATAATTGTTTTATCTCACGAATGTGGACTTGTCTTAGTTGTGAAGGTATGTGCACATACATATATATAATGGTTTCGTGTGCGTGCGAGACATTTGCGCCTTTATAAGCATACATTACAATTACCTAAAACTTCTCCGCATTCGTTAGATGAAAAATAAAACATCTGTATTCTGTGATTTGATATTCTTTGTCTTATGTGTTTGTTTGTACTCAACCATAATAACCATCACATTTATATATATTTCTTAAAATCTAATACAAAAGTCAAACATCTAAGACGATAAAATTGTCCTCCAGTCCAGTACGATAAGAGGAATATTTAATAAAATAATATTTTTTATATTGTACACAGTTTGCCACATCTATTAAACGGAAAATGGTCGCCACCAAAATCTGTCAAGTCGATTCCGAAAAGTTTGTCAACATAAAAATTTATTGTTAAATAATTTTATCTTCCCAGAGAACAATTTTATATTCTTAGATCGTTTATTTTTGTTTAAGATATGAATATTTGATCGTTTATTTTTGTCTAAGATGTTAATTGACGAAACAAATTTAAATCCAAAGATGGGGGCAACGGGAAGTTTAATTTTTGTTTTTGTTATTTGTGATTAAAATTAAAATATTTGAGACGTTATTGTGTGCCTTCACGAGTCTGTCTGCTGTGATTCATTAAAAACTGTAAGACTTACTTACCATACCAAAATCGAGTTTTTTTTTATTTGTACCTATCTTACCTACGTACCTACCTTACTATGACGCAAATCCTGAGGCGTACTAGTACTGTTCTTAACTTCATAACATTTTTGAAAATAATATTTATCTATCCAGTCAAAATATTTAAAAATCACAAAATCATGTAGGCGTACCTTTACTATTTTGCGTTACCGTTTTGCGTCACTCTACGTCACCTACTTGCAGAAAATTGTACGTCACCTTTGCGCTATTTGTGGCAAAATCTACGGCCTGACCCATATATATATATATATACAATTAAAAAAAAATTAAAATCAATTCTTTGTAGTAGGGGAGCCCAAGAGGGGATTTTCTGTAGTTACTCGAGCGCGGCAGATTAACATAAAAGAGGTTACCTTGCACTCTATTGAGTACTTTCACCACAATATAAGTCTTCTATATAAAGGGGCGCGTCTAGGGAAGCCGATTAAAATATTTAAAAAATGTTTTGATAAGGTAGAAATACTTGAAACCGTCAGATTAAGGTGTGGTAGGCTAGTCACATCCTGAAAAGTGTCCAATTTAATAATAATCTGCCGATTTGCACAAGCCTAAGAGGCAAAAATCATCATAAACTTTATAGTCGAGTGTGGTGGGCTCTGACCTGCTCCGCCTTCGTATTAAAGGGAGACCCGTACCCAGCAGTGGGACGTTAAAAAGGCTAAATACAATAACTTCTAACAAATGCACAAACTCCACACTTTACTAGACCGGGACAAAAATCAAATATTCCAGTAAAGAAATGGAAGTCACCATTTATAGCGATTTAGACAGTGAAAAAATTATAATTATGATATTACATGGAAGTGTGTATTCATTTTATAGTTATATCTATCTTTTTTATATCAGCGACTTTGGTGTATTTTATATATTTTATAAAAGTACGCCACCTTTTGGCAATTTCTCAATTAACAGTAACCTATGTGTTACTTCAGGTCTTAAAACTATCTGTGTCTAAAATTTCATCCAAATCCGTCCAGCCGTTTCATAGTGAAGGAGTAACATACAAACACACATAAAAACTTTTTATCTATACTAATATTATAAAGCTGAAGTTTGATTGTTTGTTTGGTTGAACGCGCTAATCTCAGGAACTACGAATCCGATTTCAAAAATTCTTTTTGCATTAGATAGCCCGTTTACTGAGAAAGGCTATAGGCTATGTGTCATCCCGGAAAAATGTACGGTTCCCGTGGGACAGTTTTTTATGTCTAGCTAGTTGTTTATGGTAGGTATAAAAGTACTCTGAATGCTTAAAGGGTATTCAATATATTTTGTAAGCAAACAAGCATAAATTACACAAAAAAATAACTATGTTTTTGAAATTAAACTGTGATTGTACTTACAGACTAGTTTTGAATACATGTTGCAAAGTAGTCTCCGGTCGATTTGTAGGTATTTGAATGTTTATTTTTTCTTTATTTCACTTATTATATTTATAGGTAAGTGTTTGATACAAATAAATATTAGATTAGTGTAGTAATATAATATTATATAGTATATAGTAATAAATGTTACCTGTACTGTTGACAATATAAGTAATTTTTACAGCAGTTATTCGGCTTTCGTCTTAAAACGGTGTTTTTGTATGACTAGAAATTAATTATCTTACGAGTAGAATAAGGTTCAGTTTATTTGAGAGGTGAACTCCCTCATCTATATAACGAATTTTATGTTTATGAATTTAACTTTTATTTATCTTTATATATATAGTTCTTCTGTGAGTGTGTATGTCACTGAACTTCTCTCAAACGACTGGACCGATTTTGATGAATTTTTTTGTGTGTGTTCAAGGGGATCTGAGAATGGTTTAGATTCACAATTTGAATAATAATTTTCATCAAAAAAATTATTAAAAAAAGTTTGAAATTTTCAAATTAAAGACGTGTAGACAGGACAACGTCTGTCGGGTCCGCTAGTCTATTATAAACATTTTAACAATTTTTCGCAATCACTCTCGATTACTCGATTAATATCTCTGTTGTCATACAATTTGTAAATTGCCCTAATTGATATTTTTCTTTTTTATTACATTTAATGATACGGGGGGAAATCCAAAGCATATATTACGTGGATAAAATCTCAGACCGACTGATTTGGACAAACGCACGCTTATATACACGCTTATATTTAGTAATAGACCAAATAGGTTTTATATAGTTTTTTTTTTAATTTTTATAGTTACCTATTACCAAATTTTCGTGTTTAAAAATGATTGAGCAGTGTGTAGCCATGTTATGTTTATCATGTGAAGGGTACAGGTACAGATAAATTAATAGTGCCTTACTCGTTTTTTTTTCTATGGTACTACTTATGGCACTTGCATTCCCAACCATTGTTCTTTACAAATACTAAACGGATGTAACTTAAATACATATTTATCTACGCTCAAAGCGAAAAAAACTGGGAATGTCCATGACATACCGGTAAAGAAGTATTGTCCAAAAATGTACATAGTAAAAAGTTATTGCATACTTTGATCTCAATAAAAATATTATATTTCTAAACTTTAAATAGATTTTTTCTAATAATCTATTTATTAGGACATAACTGTTCTTTGTCTGTACCCTTCATATGGTACCCCCTAGCCTACCTTGGTAGACGTCAAGCATACAAATCGTTAGTAAAAATTGTTATGATGTCATTATAGTAAACATGCATTTACTCAATTTTCCCGTATTTAAGATTTGGGATAATATTTTAATTTGTTGTGAAATTGTATTTATTCCTCCGATCCTCAAAAATCTACTAAAGAAACTTTCTTATATGTAAAGTGTACATTAATTGCACACGAAATCGAATCTAAATCAGTTCCAATATATTGTTAAATTAAAAAAATGCAAATCAATATTGAGCGTCACAACAATTATTATTCTTATCGTTTTACAGGTATATAGCACAACTTATGTGGCTCCTATAATACAGAAGCTATTAAAGATATAATATTAATATAAGAAAAAAAAATCTATAAACTTTTTATTAGTTCTCTTCTAAGCTAGAACAAGATCCATGTTTGACGACTTTTACTCCAGGGGTATCACTACATCTTTCCATACAGTATATATTGCTGTAAGTGACTCCATCGGATCCACACATTGGCGCGTACATTCGTGGACAACCACAGGGTTCCTTTGCTCTCGCCTTCTCCATATCCATAAAATTTTAATTCAGATATATATACTCCGTATCACGTTAATTACTTGTATGATCAGTAAAATGCTCTAAGAGAGAATCGAACCCCCCAAACACAAGATAATCTGAGCCCACCGGTTAATAGAAAACAATAAGCACAAATGTATACATTTACATACATACATATATACATACGAGTATGTATATCGAGGTAGGAGGATATCAATTTTTAACCCCCGACGTAAAAGAGGGGTGTTATAAGTTTGACGTCGATGTCTGTGTGTCAGTGTGTGTGTGTGTGTCTGTCTATGGCATCGTAGCTCTCACACGGATGGACCGATTTCGATGCGGTTTTTTCCATTTGAAAGCCAGTTTTCTTGCGGTGGTTCTTAGCTATGTTTGGTATCGGTCTGGACGGATAATAACCTCTTACACTGCTGGCAGTGTAAGAGTATCAGCTCTTTTCCAAAATGATGTAAGGCATTTTGGCGTATGATCACTCAATTTAGTGCTTCACACGCGCCAGTGTAATCGTTAAAAGACAACTAATTTTCTAGGGAGTCTTGTAAATTTTTAATTTATAGTTATTTAGGATATTAAAATATAATTTAAGAGTCGACGACGGCTATAATATACGAGTATGTAGTATATAGTAGTTTATTTGAAATCGATATGTGACCTATACAAATCCATACTAATATTATAAAAATGGAAGTAAGTCTGTCTGTTACATTTTCACGTTTAAACCGCTAAAAAGGCTGATATAGGTTACGTTACCCAGCCTCACTACGCGAGTGAAGCCGCGTGCAAAACCTAATAGTTTATAAGGCGATCTATTATTTCTTTTTCTTTTTTAGAAAA